CTTTTTTACGTGTAAACTTTCTAATTAATTTAAAACATGTGTTGAGTAAAAAAAACAAAAGAAGTAAAAATATACATGTTTCTCTGCTTTGTTAAATTTTGAGAAAAACGGTTACCAACTAAGTTTCACAAGAAAAACTTCGGTTCGGATCTATTTTGAATTCGGTTTGCTAACAAAAAACTCGAATTGAATTAAAAATATTTCCTATTTCCTATTTAATACTACCGAATTTTAAATATTTTCAGTTTGAAATATAAAAAAACATGTTCTCATATTTTTTTTTTATAAAATAGTCGTTCTTTCTTTATGGACAATGGAGTTTAAATACGTTTAAATCTTCTCAAAAAAAAAAACAGATATTGGGTGGGAACTGGGATCATTTTGGGCTCTATACCGGCAAGCTACCCCGATTTTCTTGTCCATAAACATATTAAAAAATTCAGATTTCACCTGAAATGTATGCCTCGAAACAGCACAACCAAATTGTAACGTCTCCTCATGGTCATGTTTCATATGCTTGTCCTGTATCTGATTATATGCAAAACTTCATCAATGGATCAAAATTTTATCGGATTGTTCCATAGCGATATAGAATAAGAGATATTACCAAAAAACATATGCGCTAGTGCCGTCAATGTGCCAAGACTGCATAGATCGCTCGTTGTGTTCTGAAACACAAACTCGACGTATTCATGAAGAGCCACATCGAAGACCGAAGTTCCAAGAATGGATGGTCCAGGTGTTGGCATGTTCTTAATAGTCTTGAAATCGAACACTCCAGGAATGTTGTACCAATCTGCTCATTTCAGTGGAGTTGTTGAGTTAACGTACGACAAACTGTTCACTGTGTACCGGAGTTTCCGGTTAATCCTCGCTTTCCCGTTGGCTAGAACCAAAGTTCGATTTATCTGTATGGTACCATATATAGGTGAAACGATCCTTGTGGGGTAGGCCTTGCTGTATTCGCTGTCAAATTTAACGTAAATTCACCTTTCAAATTAGGCAGTGAAAAATAAAAACCAAATTGAAATTAACCAAAAACAAAATTACCTGATGGTTCTTGCCTGTTTCATGGACCAATGGGGAAGGCGCGAGATGGTCTGATTTTGGAACCTTGGTAACGGAGGATTCCGGTTGTGGTAAGTACCGGTTTGGTTAACCAGGTTGAAACCACGATGAAGTAGTCTTTCACTGGAGCCTTCAATGTGATCAGAACGGTCACTTACTGACCAACGCGTACGTCAAGCGACTCATAGACCTCTTGCAGAGTGTGGGAGCATTCTACTTCGACGAGAGTCATCATTTGTCCTTGTATCCTAAAGTTAATCGATGTTGATATTCCAACATTTGATATCCGAAATCTATATATCTTGCATTAATAAAATAAATAAATAAATAATACATCAATAAAGAGATCAAAGAAATGAGAGATGAATTTAAGGGGGGGGAAATGGATCTTGTTGATGAGAATGTACCATGCTGACCGGTAATTGCTAAACCTTTAGCAGCACCATTGATCAGACCGTCCGGAAGAGGAAGATCACGACCTGAGTCAAGCCTCTTTCGCGGTTCCTGTCAAAAATAATAGAAGATGCAGAAATATCCAGATTACTAGTTAAACACTAAAATAATATGGTTGCTTGGGAAACAAGTTAATTCATGAATAAGGGTTTATTTCTACCTTGTGGCCCATCTTGTGCCAATCATTGACGAGGAGAGTGAATTCACCGCCTGCTTTAGGGTAAATGATAGGGAGCGGAAGCTATATAATGAGAACTTTAAGAGATAACTCCAGGAGCACTCGCAAACGAATTCGGATCTTGACTTAGTCGAAACTCTCGTCTAAGGCAATGGGGTTTAAGAGTACTTCTCTTAGTGCTTTAACAAGCTCTGAATAATTCAATATCAAAATCAAGTATAGTACAAAAGATTGAAGCAGAACTAATTTATAGCTGAAACTAGAAGATCTTAATCCTATCGGGAAAAGATTTGTAATTATCCTAAACTTTAAAACAGAGAAGCAAACTTAATAAGTAAATATCCTAAATAGAAACGACTACGTAAAGGCCGCAAATCGTATTCGTTGCGGAGGTCCAACTCACGATATGCACTGCATCAGGTCCCCTCTGGTGAAGAAGGATTCACCCACGAATCAGGAACATCGTTGTCGCCACAAAATGGAGTCAAGTACTTGACATTGAACACATCACTGGTGCGAAGATGAGAAGGAAGACGAACACGGTATGCGTTCGCGTTGATGCGTTCAACAACTTCAACAGGTCTGATCTTCCGGGACTTTAGCTTGTTATACTCATGCAGGGGAAGACGGTCCTTTGTCAAAACCACCCGCACCAAGTCACCCGGCTCAAAAAGTACCTCTCTACGCTTAGCATCTGCGGCGACCTTGTACTTCAAAACAGACTTCTCCAAGTTTGCTTTTGTTGTACGATGCACCTCTTGCAAAGCCTCCACAAAGTCAACTGCCTCCCCATGATGACGCGTCCTATCTGGTAAGGTAGACAAATCCAACGGACAGCGAGGAATCACACCATAGACCACCCGAAATGGGGATAAACCCGTACTGCGATTCGAAGCGTGATTGTGCGCAAACTCCGCTTGGCACAGTTTCGAATCCCACGATTTGATATTATCACCCACCAAACAACGCAGCAAATTACCCAACGCCCGATTCGTAACTTCTGTTTGTCCGTCCGTCTGAGGATGGTAGGCTGAGCTCATGTCGAGACTTGTTTTCAAAAGCTTCCAAAGAGATCTCCAAAAATGACTAAGAAATCTAGTATCTCTGTCAGATACGATAGACGACGGCAATCCATGTAAACGGTAAATCTCTCGAAAGAACAAAGTTGCCACATTAACCGCATCTGTTGTCTTTTTGCATGGAATAAAGTGTGCCATTTTGGAGAATCGATCCACGACGACGAAGATGGAATCAAAGCCTCGTTGTGTACGAGGAAGGCCCAACACAAAATCCATACTTATGTCAGTCCATGGCTGAGTAGGTACTGGTAAAGGAAGATAAAGCCCTGCGTTAGAAGCTTTACCCTTACCCTGATGACAAACACGACATCGCTCAACAAAACGGGATACATCACGGCGGACGGAAGGCCAAAAATAAGACGCCAAAACCAGCTCCAATGTTCTATCCCGACCCACATGACCCTCGTTGTGTAGTTCACAAATAATTTGGAGACGCAAGCTGCACTCAGGAATGCAGAGCTGGAGGCCGCGAAATAGAAAACCGTCCTGAATCGTATAATCGCCTGTTACTCCACGTTCAGCGTCTGCAAAAATACGGGCAAAGAATGGGTCTGTGATGTACAGATCAGCAAACGATGCAAAGCCGGCGACTGAAGTGTGCATCGTCGTAAGGAAACTGTGTCGTCGGCTCAGTGCATCCGCTACTCGATTGGTTTTACCCGACTGATGACGAATCGTAAAAGTGAATTGTTGCAGGTAGGCAATCCATGTAGCATGACGCGAGGACACCTTGGCTTGGCTATCTAAATGACGCAAAGCATCATGGTCAGTAAACAGAACAAATTCGCGATGAATCAAATAATGCCGCCAATGTTTAATTGCTTGAACAATGGCATAAAACTCCACATCATAGGTGCTGTAACGTCCCCGCGCACCATTCAATTTTTCACTGTAATAGGCAATGGGCCGACTTTGTTGACTTAAAACTGCACCAATACCCAACTTTGACGCGTCGCAATGAAGTTCAAAAGGCATCGCAAAGTCCGGTAGAACCAATATCGGCGCTGTCGTCAGTTTTTCTTTGATGAGTTCGAACGCCTTTGTAGCTTCAGATGTCCATACAAACTTCCCTTCTTTCATACAGCTAGTAATTGGAGCCATTATCGAACTAAAATGGCTGACAAATCGACGATAGAAGGACGCCAGGCCATGAAAGCTGCGTACTTCGGAAATCGATGTTGGAATTGGCCATGAACGGACGGCTTCAATTTTGGAGGAATCGACAGACAGGCCTTTATCAGACACAACATACCCCAAGAACAAAACCTCCGAGGCACCAAACTCACACTTCTGCTTCGCCACGAACAGCTTTTCAGCTCGTAAAACCAACAACACATCGCGTAAGTGCGCCGCATGTTCTGCTAAGGAAGAGCTGAAGATTAATATGTCGTCGAAGTAAACGACGACGAACTTGCCTATAAAAGGACGCAAAGCCTGATTCATGATTCTCATGAATGTACTTGGCGCATTGGACAGGCCAAAAGGCATGACGAGCCACTCAAAAAGACCTTCGCGCGTTTTAAAAGCTGTCTTCCATTCATCCCCTGGGCGAATGCGAATTTGGTGGTAGCCACTCTTTTCGCAGAGCCTATCTGATCTAGCAAATCGTCGAGACGAGGAATCGGAAAACGGTAGCGAATGGTGATTTTGTTAATTGCACGACTATCAACACACATTCTCCAAGACCCATCTTTCTTTGGGATAAGTAAAGCCGGTACTGCGCACGGGCTTAAACTTTCACGAATGTGACCCTTGAGGAGAAGATCCTCAACCTGAAGACGAAGCTCTTCGTGTTCTTGCGGACTCATCCTGTAATGGGGTCGATTAGACAGTGTCGCACCCGGTGTTAGATCGATCTGATGTTGGATGTCGCGCAATGGCGGTAAACCCTGCGGAAGCTCTGTAGGGAACACATCAGCAAACTCAACCAGTACTGCTGCGAGTTCAGGAGCCACCGTTGACGAGAGAATATGATCTGGAGATGCGGGCAACAATGCTAAAGCGAACCCTTCCCTCTGCATTTCTGAAACAAACGACGCATAAGAACAGAGCAATGTCGTATGCCTTGCGATTGGGGGTTGCACCGGAGCCGTGGACTCAGGTGGAGATGGTGGTGCAGGCAGCGAAGTTTCACGCGAGGGTACCAGTAAAATTTGGTGCGTTTCCTAGATGAACTGATATGTATTTTGAGCACCATCGTGAATGATTTTTCGATCAAATTCCTAAGGTCTTCCTAGTAACAGATGGCTAACATCCATCGGAGCTATATCGCAGTACATGCGATCCCGATAATATGGTCCAATGGAGAATGGTACCAGTGATCGTTGAGTGATCCGAACGCTCACACCCTCACGCAACCACCCAAGCGTGTACGGTGCCGGATGATCCTCTCGAGGCAGTCCCAGCTTCTCGACAGCAGCATCTGCAATCACGTTCCGACAGCTACCGGAGTCGATTATAAAGCTGCAGACACGACCACGAATCGTGCAAGTAGAGCGAAATATGTTGGTTCGTAACCATTGCATATCCTGACGTCGCGGGGTAATACAAGTACGATGCAAGACCAGCATTTTACTCGTATCTCCTTGCGTCCGGACAACGCGATCCTCCACTGTGCTATCACCATCATCATGAGAATCATACACAGGTTCCCGATCATCGATCGCGTCATCAGCAATTAGACCACGACGAGGTTGGTGTGGACACGCTTTTTGTCGGTGCCCTTGCTCCCCACACGAATAGCAGCGCAGTGCATTGGGGCGAGTTGATCGTCGCAACGTCGTCTCCTCTGTTTGAGCTGTTCCTCGAGAAGACTTCCCAATGATTTCGCCATTGTCCTTAGCTTGTGGTGCTCCATTAGTGAAATCCGGAGCTTTGTTTCGATTCGCCGCCGAGGCCCAAGTAGACGACCGCAATTGTTGTTCGAATGAAACAGCACGCCGAAGCGCCTCGCTAATTGACGTTGGATCAAATTGGGCCATCGCTGATTGCAATTGAGGTCGCAAACCTCCGATAAAACGAGACACGAGTTGGCTCTCGCTATCGTGTAGCTCGTTACGCGTAAGCAAGACGGAAAATTCCTCCGCATATTCCTCCACACTTCGACTTCCCTGTCGTAAGTTTTGAAGACGCGTGAACATCATACGGTTGTAATTATGTGGTAGGAAAGCTTTCCGTAGATGTTTTTTTAATTTTTCGCACGACTGAATCGGTTCCCTACCGGTGCGAGTCCTTGTCGACTTGAGTTGTTTCCACCACGATGCCGCATGACCGCGAAATCGCATTACCACCAGAGGGACACGTCGATGATCCGGGACTTGTTTAAAATCTAGAACTTCTTTGACGGATACAATCCAATCAAGCAGATCATCACCCCGAATTCCCCCATGAAACTCTGGGATGTCGACTTTAAAACTTGCTTCCCACTTGTTGTCACGACCATGATCATTGTTGTCACGATTACGAACCCTCCGGTGATGCTCATCTTCTTCCACTTCATCAACATCGTGACGGTCAGCGAACGGGTTGTCACCTCTGTCACGTACATGTGCCTGAGCTGGCATCCGAGCATCCAATCGGGTCATTAACATCTCACCCATCTCATGAATCGAAGCGTGAATTGTTGCCTGCATATTTTCCTGCATTGCCAGGAGCTGTGTACGAAATTCAGTCCAATCGGCTGCGGTATTTTGGTTGTCACCGACGGCGTTGTTGGTAGTCTTCTTTGGAGGCATTGTCGAAAACGTCCAAACGCAACCCACAAGAATGTGCTGTCTCTGATACCAACTGATAGGGAGCGGAAGCTATATAACGAGAACTTTAAGCGATAACTCCAGGAGCACTCGCAAACGAACTCGGATCTTGACTTAGTCGAAACTCTCGTCTAAGGCAATGGGGTATAAGAGTACTCCTCTTAGTGCTTTAACAAGCTCTGAATAATTCAATATCAAAATCAAGTATCGTACAAAAAATTGAAGCAGAACTAATTTATGGCTGAAACTAGAAGATCTTAATTCTATCGGGAAAAGATTTGTAATTATCCTAAACTTTAAAACAGAGAAGCAAACTTAATAAGTAAATATCCTAAATAGAAACGAATAACCGCAAATCGTATTCGTTGCGGAGGCCCAACTCACGATAAATTAAAGGTGGGGTACGTCAAACCGAGTGGTAACTTGTGGACATGGTGACGCATTCCTCAAAAGAGATCACAAGGGAATTCCAAATTCCAAAGTTTTTATTTAATTAGTCACACAATGCGTGACTAATACGGTCGGATTTTCCATGATGCTCTTCTTATAATTTCTTTTTTTATCTGCTTCTTTTTAAATTGATATAGCCATGTCAATTAAGACTATCAAAAGAATAGGTTACTCAATCCGATAAAGCCTCCTACTCTCCTAGTGCTGTCCAAATCTATAATCTCATTGTCTTGGAGTAAGTTAGAAGTCTATTTAGCTATAATTTCTTTTTTTTTTTTTTGTTATTGGTTACTTTGTTATTGTTAACCATTCCGAAAATATTAAGCCAAGATCCATACAGTTTTTAAAGGATACGAATATTTTTCCTAACCAATAATTGAACTGTTTAAATCAGATTTATCTTCTTCTTTTTTGGAGAAATCTAGTTCACACGTACTAGTCTTACTTTTAGTTGCTCATCGTGTTAAAATCCTATTGCATTTTTTGTTTCTTTTCATTTTGTCAATTTACTGATATTTGTTGTTTTTAGAAATAAACAGGGTCTGAATTCAATTATTTGGATTTGGAACTGTACTTTTTTAAATATTTGACGTTCGAATATGCGATTAAGTATCAAAATATATGATCACAGTATATGCGGATATATCTTTAGAAAACGAATCTTTTTTTTACCATTTGATCACTGTAAATCGATTGTAAAGTCTATTTAAAAATATTATAATTTCCCTTAATTTCTTTTTAGTTTTTCGAAAATTGTATCGATGATCAAAATTTACCATATCCAGTTGAACGAACTCTAGGCCTTCTTTTACTCCTAATCAAAATAGTCCAACATAAGTTCCATAGAAAGCAACACATATCAACCATGCATGGCTCCCACGTCAGCACAAAATCACCACGACGTGTTACTTTTCTTACACACACGCACAAGTCTTTCTAATCCTATTGATTTCTATAATATAAATACCATAAGCTTTTTTTTTTTAGTTACAAACACCAGCTATTATCATAACAACCATGGCCAATGATGGTACCAAAGACCCACCACCCAAATCTGGTAAGAACAATAGTTTAAGAAACATTATGGAAAAGAAAAAATGAAAAGACTCAGTTATAAGATTTATTTCTAATTTTGTCCTTTTTGTGTTTCATGAATTAAATCGAAGATATTGTGGAGGATATATACTTATGGAGGAAAAAGAAACTGGCCTTTTCTGTGCTCTCTGTCTCGACGGTGACATGGGTTTTGCTCAGTATATATGGTTTCAATTCCATAACCATTGTTTCTTGGACAGCCATCGCCATTGTCTCTATGGTCTTCCTCTGGGGGAGTTTACTTCGCCTTCTCAGCAAGTAATTAGTTTTTTTTTCATCTCAAATTATCTTAAGGTCTTATGCAAATTTTGTTACTATATTTTTGTTGTTTTTTTAGAGTTTTTAAAAGACTAATGACCCTAATAGAATACAAATCTCTAACGATTTTTTATTGTGAAATCAATTTTGGAATTGGATCTGTTAGAAGGAAACATGTTAAGAGTCGCCGACTCATGAGTCGGTCTATGATGTGGACGGATCCCATTTTCAAAATAGTCTTATAAATTATCAAATAACTGAAGTTTAAACGAACATTTTAGGTTTTTATGTTGTTGATTATATTAAGTTTAAACGGTTTTTTTGGTGTTTATTAATTTTTGGACAGGGTTGAACCGGAACTGTCAGGCTTAGAAGTGTCGGAGGAGTTTGTAGCGGAGACGGTGAGGTCTTGTCGAAAGCTAATGGAAGAAATGGTTAGATGGATGTTCCGAGTCGGTGCTGAGAGTGAATGGTTTGTGTTCGCGAGAACCGTTTTGGGTTTCTGGATCTTGTCAAGAATCGGGAACCTTCTCGATTTCCATACTTTCCTCTTCATCGGTACGTATTTCATGAAATAGTATACTTTTACTTCTTAAATGTCGATCGTCCCATAAGTTGGATAGGTATAATGCTTAATTAATCGTTAATGTAATCATGAATCATCTAGCTTATGCTTAACCGGTTAAATAATCATTATTTTAATGTTCTCACATGGTAACTTTATCTGAAAAAAAAAATCAAATTTACAATTTCTTAAAACTAAACATTTATGCTATAAATGTCAAATTTCATCTAGTTTAGGGGTTTGTATTATTGTTCTCCGTACTTAAACCTACATAATGCTGACAACAAAAGAAATGTCAATTTCATCAAATGTCATTGTATGTATACACATTAATTTACTTTATAAAATCTGAGCAAACATTTAAGTATTTAAACAACTAACAAGTTTAGATTATTGTACGAATCTAAGATATTTTTTTCCAAAAAATATGGTATGAATTAGATGTGATTCATGTATCCTTTACTCTGTGACATTTTATAGGTTTGGTAGTCGGCTTGACAGTTCCTAAGTTATGGGAGAAGAACAGTGATCGAATACAAAAGCTATTAGCTAATCTCAAAGAGAGATCGAAGGGAGCTTATGATCACACTCAAGAGAAGATTTTAATGATGAAGAACAAGTTACATCATGGTACAGAGGAGAAGGTGAAAAAAACAGAGTAGCTATTTACCTGTCTTTGTAATCTATAAAAGTCAATGTACGCAATGTTTAAAATGTAAACGAAATTCAGTAGATTACATATTACCTTTTCCAACTTTCTGTCAATATAACAAATTTGAGATCAAAGACAATGTGAGATAAAATGTTGAAATTTCAGATCATGCTTAGGACCCGTCTCATAATTTGAAGACCCAATATAGATGGGCCAATAATGCTGTAAACAAATCGTAACAGGTATTTAGTGTCAATAGGTTAGGCCCAGCCTAAAAAGAAAGGAAAATAAAACCGAAGCCACTCTTTATCAGAGCCAGGTTTCGATCCTGGGACCTGTGGGTTATGGGCCCACCACGCTTCCCATGCGCCATTCTGATTTGTTGTTGAATATGCATCCAGTTATGTGTTTATATCTTTTAGAAACCATAGTCATCCTTAAAAACCCTAATTTCTATCTGCCTTTCTTTTGTTAAAGATCCGCCTACATTCTTAACTTTTCAAAATTGATTGTTTTGATGATCAAGATTTTTTTAGAGACGAGAGGATGATCAGTTAAAGATAATCACCCATTGTAACAAATACCCAATTGCAGTCGGTAATTCATCCAGCAACTTTTAATCTTAATAATGTTAAATGAAGTTTTGCAAACAAGATTACAATGGATCAAATTTGGTGTCGAAATAGAGAATGCATATTTAGAATGTTGAATTTATAGATGCAAAAATTGATGAATATATAATGCCATTTATTAAAAAGAAATTAGACATTCAGAATAAATTATCCAACAACGAAAAATGTCTTCTTTTTTTTAATCTTAATGCAACTTTGGTATTTAATAACTAGCTTCCTTGTTCTCAGCTTTCATCCATTTTACCGGTGGCTCAAGGTCTTCCTCCTCCTCATCTTCATGAAGATTCTCTTGTCCCATTGGTTGCATCAGAAACTGCCCTTCACTTTGCTCTTGACCTTCCTGTAATGGAGGCTGAAGCATGAGCTGTGTCTGAAGCTGATCATGGTTAATATGATGATCTGTCTCTTGACTCATTTGATAAGCATCGCCAAAGCTTCCTAAAGCAAGAGATGGTCCGGACAACGACCCACCAGCAGCGTGATCATTCACATCCATCTGGTTATACCCAGTGGCTGTAACGGACCCGTTGTTGTCCATTCCATAACCATTGAACATCCCTTGTTGATCTCCTCTGTCCAAAATCATTGCAGCCATTCTCTGTGCATCAGCAGCTATGAGCTGCATTTGCTCATCCTGTGGTTGATGTTGATGTTGATGCTGAGACAAGTTTGGATCGCGTATGATCATCGGTTCTCCTTGAGGGATCACTCCATGTGGCATTCCTTCCATAGCCATCATGAAATTGGGCGGAGGATTGTTTCCTAGAGGAGGAAGATAAGGCGGTTGCGGAATCACAGCATCGGGTCCTATGTAACCAGCAAGCTCTTCTTTAGCAGTTACAAGATCTTGTTGGATTTTCTTGAGACATTGTTGTAAGAAAGAGATGAGACCAACGCATCCATAGATTGGGTCACGGATACGTGCCTCGGCTTCATAGTAGAGGGAATTAACAGCGTCTTCGCGGTTTAAAGGTGGGAGATCGTTGAGGATCTTGGTTACATTGCTTGCACCAAAGACACGGTGAACAGAGATGAACTTTTGAGGCTGAGTTGGTGGAAAATAGGGTGCAAAGACGCATTCTTGAGTGCATTTTCGTCTCAAGAGCTTGCAAGCTGCACAAGGTGTTGAAGCCATTCGCTCTTAAGATCAGCACTGTCAAAACGAAAAATGCAATTGAGACACAATCATTGCAAGGAAAACGGTAGGCCTATCAAATTTCTACGAATCTTGTAAAACAAGAAACAAAGAACATGATTTTAGCTTAGAACACAAGAAACCCAAGTTATTGCATTTAGTATTTTAATCATCATTTGAATTGAACAGATCAGATCAACTTTCACCAAAAAGCCATAACTATGAACAATTAATTATTCTTTTCATCATTATGGAGATATTATATCAATTTTCAGCCAAATCAATTTCATACAAAAAAAATCAGAAATATAAAATCGAGACAATTAAGAAATTATCAAATCATTATGAAATTAAGAAATCGTACCTGATCGTTCAAGACCACCGATCCCTTTCCCGTTGAATCTTCGATGATGGTACCTGAGATTATGTAACACTTTAGAATAAATATAACAAATTGAAAATTGAAATCCAAAAGAAAAAAAAACCCAAAATCAAATAAAAAGAGTTACTGGATTTTTGGGAGTGAGAAAATGGAGGAGAAAAAGAAAGAAAAAAAGACAGAGATTTTCCCAGTACAGTGCCTGAGGAACCGTGCGAATTGATAGAAACTGAGGAACAAATGACGGAGATGTTTCTGAGAAATTTTTATAGGAAAAAAAAATAAGAGATTTAGAAACCTTAAACAGAAACAAAAAAAAAGAGAGAGAGAGATGGAGGCATCGTGTCATAACAATCTACGCACATGTGGGGAACTTTTGAATCTTAACCGTTCATGCACAAACAAAAATTATTTTTTAATAGATTATTTTTGATAAATTAGCTCTGGTTAAATCTGCATAATTGGTAGATGACTGATTCAAAATATATAAGACATTCAACAAAAGGGGAAATTTGTATAAATATATCAAAGAAAAACTCTTTTTAATGTTCCTTTATTAAAAAAGAAGAGTTTTACAAAAAAAGTTTTACTTAATTAAAAGTTTCATTACTTTTGTCATTTTTTAAAACTGTAATAAAAAAGAAGTACTTTTATTATTGTTCATGATAAATTTAATCATGTACAATACGGCGTGTACAACAATGGACTCACAATATGATCACAAAAAGATGTAATCGTAATTTTGTTGAAATAAGTGATGTTTTCTAATAGTACTTTAAAAAGTGACAAAATAAAATTAAGAAAAATTAAAATAAGTGACAGTCGTTTCAAATTATTCTTTAAAAAATAATTATGTGATCAATAAAAAAATATTAGCGTTACAACTTATAAATAAGATAAAAATTATAAATGATCGTGTAAAGATTTTAAAACCTACAAAAAAGACTAATGGTATTGTTTTTTATTACGTAAGAACAAAATTTAGTTTGAAAAAAAAAAATGAGTTAGTTTTTAAGTTATAGAAACTTTATACATTATCAAACCAAATCACTCAAAAAGAAATTTATTTGATAATTTCATAACTGATTCTGTAACTAATCATCTATTCTATTAAAACAGAAGCACATTTAGTGCTTGCATTCAAACACTCCCAAAGTTTTTTTAATAATATTTTATTTTATTTTTATATTTAATTTCCCAAAATTAGTTATTAATTTAGATATTTTTAGATTTCCTAAAATCTAGGTCATCTTTAATTTAAATTTCAAATTATTAGAAATTTAATTAAATTTAGTTACAAAATTTTGCATTCAATTTAATTTAAATTCAAAAATTTCAAAAAAAATTATAATTAAAATTTATTACAAAAATTTAGATAATAATTTTAATACTTTAGAATTTCTTAAATACAGGAAAAATTTAATTTAAAATTTCTTAATTTTAATACTTAAGAATTTCTTAAATACTTTAGATAATAATGTTTGTCAAAATATGTAAGATATTAAAAATGATTTAAGACAACTAAACGGATGGATTAGCAAATTCATAGATATATAGATTGTTTATGTGTAAATTTAAATTCACATAATAACAAAGTTTATAATTAACATTAGATCAATGTATACTTAATTAACGTATACTCTTATTCTACTAATATACAAATTTTACTGTTTAAAATTAAAATATGATAACAATTTTTTAATTTAAAAAAAGAAATAATAAAAATAAATTATATCTAAACAAAAAAGATAAGTGCAACTTATATTAGAAATAAAAAATAAAACATTCTCGTGCGGACGCACGGGGTTAAAATCTAATTATCATTCTTAAAATAGACTTGATGATTTATTACTTGATGGGTTAGTTACACAAATAACAAGTATTAAAACTGGCTTTTTATTTTACATTAATCGTTTAATTAAACCATTCATGAGAAATAGTAAAATGTATGGAGTTAAAAAAAAATCAGTGAACGTTTACTTTTTAACATCTCAAGATCCAAGCTTCATTAATTTGAATTTGATACAATGTGAACGTTAAACCTGGTAATATCAGAAGTAGATTAGGATTGAATTAATATAGCTTAAGCGGATCAGAAATATATAAGACTATGAATAAAAATCTATCCTGGTATATCAACACTAGATTATCACATGAATTAGGTGTTCACAGAAATAAAAGAGAAAATATAATTTAAAATTCATAAAAAAAAAATAAAAAAAGAAACAATAAATGTAGTTTAATATTTTTTATTGTCAAAAAGTTTTTAATTTTTGTTCTATGGAAATATCTTTACGAATATTCCTATCCGCTTTTTTAATCCCTTCAACCTATCTTTGTGTCAACACTACAGAATACAAAAAGATAAGCCTTCAAGCAATCATATGAAAGATCTGGACTTCAAAGACAACCATGATCATGATAATACTGATAATGAGTCCTAAAATCTTGAAGAAATGATTAGTTCTTATTGATCAACCTGTGAGAGCCACATGAGTGTCTTTGTCTACAATTAACCTCTATCCATGAGGAATTTAGTCTTAATGTGCGAAAGTGCATTCACATTGTCGATTAATAAAATCGTGGTAGCTTCCCTAACGACATTACCTTCCTTGTTCACTATTTTGTCCAAGAAATGGATTCAGGAATACCCGACGCCAAACTCATCTAACTCTTGCCCCCATTAGGGTTGTTTACATTTAGCATGATAGCATCACACATGCTTAGCCCAATCTTTGTCTCCATTCACTGCACCGCGTTAATTAGACTTCTTGGTCCTTCAAATGGGTGCAGATAAAACGGCAAAGAAACAGAGGTTTCTTTGACATTTTCCACTAATACTGCTTCATCTTTTTCTTGAATTGCCATTATTGAAGTCGTCACTAACAAAAGAAATTCAGAATTTTGGATCTACGTTTTGGCTCTGTTATCATGTAAAAGTTAGAATAGAACGGTTTCACTTTTATTAGATACAAAGAAACTATATATATACAAAAGCTAGAGAACCCTAGGTCTATATACAAATAAGGAAACTATGAGTAAAGGAACCAATACAAATCCACCCCGTAATACAAAGTTCACTTGATATACCAAGATTGCTCAAATTTGTAACCAACTTAAGAAAATCAACAATGTTTTTTTTTTCCTTTTTTAATCGCCAATGTTTCATCAATGTTTTGAGAGTCATTTTATCCTAGAAGTGTAAAACATGTGCTGAAGAGAGAATCGATTAGGTATATATTTAGACATGTATAACCTCTCAACTCTCAAGCATCAAACACATGGATGTTTGTTTTATGAGACTATGAGAGTTGATGATATTGCGAAGACGTGATCACCAGCATTTAAGATGATGATAATTTTAGAATTTTCTGTCTCTCAAACTTTTATAGATCAACTTTTCATTTACTTTTTTAACTTTATGAGTCTTTTCTTTTTCTTCATCTTTCATTATGTCCGGGCAGTTCAAAATTCTCTGCAGTGGGCGCAAGACGATTCCACATATCGAGGTCGGAATGGGATCCAGAGGGAGATACAATCTTCTTGGGAACTTTTGAGCATTGCAGTGAAATTATCTACTTCAAGGTATTCTTTTGCTATTCTTTGAGGCCAAAAAACATTACGAGCTTATGTGCGTAAGAAGAAAATAGCTGAGCTGGCAAATAAGATCATTGACTGATGAGCTGGACCAATGAGAAGAAAGTAGTGAGAGTTGGCGATTAGAGATTTGAGAAACTTTAGAGCCACACATTTTTTAGTTATTTCCAACGAAAATAAAAATCCAAAAATCCAAATAAAAACAGAAATCAACCACAAAATTCTGATCTTTTTCATCTGGGTATAGTTTATGATACGTTTAACGCTTAATTAACACAAAAATTTAGATACACATAAAACAATTGGAGATCCTACGGTTTCTGACTTTCGGGTCCTAAAATCCCGTTGACGACGGACGTTCCGACAAGAACTCCGACGAACTCTGCCACCACGACTGCTCCGGCCTGTGTTACTCCGTTGTAACTAACCGCCGTCACGACTTCTTTCTCCGCCGCATTAAATCCTTTTTCCGCCGTCTCTAATCCTCTCTCCGCCGCCTCTAATCCTTTCTCCGCCGCAACAACGCCTTTCTCCGCCGTCTCGAAGCCTTCTTTCACGATCTCCACCGCTCCCTCTTCTGCCTTTTTCAGCTTCTTTCTGATCCCGAAAAACGGAATATCCTCCGCCATTGATGCAGGCTGCAAGCCTGTCGCCACCGTCGCCGCCGTCAGGGAAAACAGCAGATTCCTCCGAGAGGCGCCGGATAGTGAGAACGACGGTTTGCTAGGAAGCGCCCTGCGTGGGCTAACATGCGCATTTCTTGCGCAACGCGCCTGGAGAGCAGCACCACCACCGCCGCTGAGTAAAGAAAGCGAAGCCATTTTTTTTTGTTAAGATGACTCAAGAAAAATCCTAAGCCAAGCAAAGTGGACTAATTGATGTGAAAGAAAAAATTGGAAAAATCATATCTAATATATAAGATAGAAAAAAAAAAAGCATTGTCAAATTGACATGCCACGTCATCGCCTTTGAGATTCTTTCGGAGATGGGAAACAAAAATTAACATGCCACGTCATCAGATTTTTACGTGGTGCGATTGATTTGATCTTTTGTTCTGTGAAACTGAAATGATTAAAAAAAAAGCATTTTGAGACCATTACGATGGTTGCAGTTGCATGGCGTCGAAGACAGTGACTGAAAGTGGAACAAACCCTAGCGGGGCTACCAAAGAAGGTCGAAATCTAGATATTATCCATGCATGGATGGCTCAATAGAAGCTCCCCACAAAAACGTTAGATTTCACAGTTCCGGGAGAAAGAATTAAAGACTCCAAAGTTCCTAAACGAGAAAGATTTCACAGGAAAGTTTTTGGGCTTGTCTTAGGATAAAGGAGTAGAAATGCGTCATGTTTCTCCGTTACTTTTAAGTTGATAAATCAATAATGATTTTGCGCTTTTAAAGATGTTATGATGGCATGAATGCGAATTGATAGTATGAAAAATATCCACATTGGATATAAAACAATATACCTAAGATAATCCTTACACATTAGCTCACTACAAGAAAACATGCCGAAAAACTACGGAAAATATCTTCAGAAAAACTTAGGAAACGTCTCTTTCTTACCAAATTTCTACGAAAATTTGTCATAGGAAATCGGCCATCGGAAATTGTAAAAAGCAAAAAAATGATAGAAAATTTCCTACGAAAATGTTGGTAGGACAGTTTTTCCTACAAAAATTTTAGTAAAACTTTCTTACCAAATTACTACCATTTTCTATCTTAGTGTTCCTTCCAATTTCCTACGAAACATTACTTACCTATTTCTTACGATTTTTTTACTAATCTTTTACTACTACTTTCCTACTAATTTCCTACCAATATAATTTTATAAAAATCAAAAGTTAAATTAATATCAGAAATTGAATTTAAATTAAAATATAATTTAATCATAAATTTGATTAATGAAATATATACAAAAAACAAAATAAATTCTCTAATTACTATGAGCCTAAAATTTGACTGAATAGTTATTAACTAGAGGGAGAGAATGTGAAGACTCTTATTTATAGAGCAACTTCTTCAATAAATTATCTTAGATTGTCGATGTGGGACAAATCCAAAAACATAGTTTCCTACGAAATTCTTACGATTTTACTACAAACGATATTTCGTAGGAAATCTGTAGAAAAAGTTAAATTTGTTCTATTTATAGTGTAGTTTTTTCATCTAAATTCTTAACTTTTCGATATGGGACAAACAAAAAAGACATACTTTCCTACAAAATTTTTACGATTTTTCTACAAACAATATTTCGTAGGAAATCCATAGGACAATTTCCTACGAAATTCCACCAATGTAACAGTTAATTGGATCCTACAACTTTCCTACCAAATTTTGACCATGTTTTCTACGAATATAAATTTGGTAGGTTATTGGTTGGATATATCCTACCACTTTTTGACATTTTTTTTCGTAGGAAATTTCTTACCTAATTCCTACCACTTTTATTTTCCGTCATAATTGCGTAAGAAATTGGTGAAAAATATTCCTACCAAATACTTTTGTAGGAATTTTTCATAGGAATATGGCATGTTTTCTTGTAGCGTTAGCTTTTAGGTGAGTTCTATACCCAAACGTTTTTGTGAACATGGTTAGGACTTAGACCACATACATCAGTGAACCTCTAAAAATTTATTAAAGAGAGTTCATAAGAATTTATTATTATTATTTTTTGGATTTAAATAAAAATAAAAAAATTAAAACATGATTTTCGGCCAATTATATGCTTCCACGTAAGGAAGAGTCGGTCGTCTCTTCAGACTCTTCGGGAAGAGACATGTTCATCAAAAATAGACCTTTTTTTAATCGTTTTGACTTATGAAACTGTGTCATGAATTCTATCTAAGGGCATCTCCAACGCAGGGTTCAAAAGGGGTTCATAAGAATTTTTAAAATTAAAAATAAATCAAAAATGAAATAAAAACAAAGAACAGGTTCGTTGGGAAGGACTTGAAGAGTCGATTTTAGAGGGGTTCGTCGGCCATGTGGCATTATGCTATTGGCTTTGATTAAAAACAATTTTATTAATTTTTTTTCCTCTCGTTTTTTTCTTTCTCTCTCCACCTAAATGGATTTGGAAACTGAAATCAGAGTTATAATAATTTCTTCTTTTCACTTTTTGTTTAATAAAAATTAATAAAATAATCTAAAAAACTCTATTATAGAGTTCAGGGTTGGAGATGGCTTAAACCCCTGATGGACATGCTTTTAGGGCTTAACTCCTTGTACTAATTCTGATTTGTAGTTTTGGAATTTTATTCTCAAAGACTTTTCAACTATGGATGGCTAGCTAACTGATAAGAAAGAAAATAATATTCATGAGTCCCTGACAATGACAGAATCATAAACAACACAAGGTCATCTTTGAATTTTAAGAAAGAATCCCACGAAAGTTCCTTTTTGGGTCTTATTATTCTTTGTCTATTCTTTATAACTCTGAATTCTGCTCTGAATCTCTTACTCTGTTTTCTATTTTTTTTTATTTGGAAAAATGGAAAATTTCGAGTATTTGAATGAGCTTCAAGTCGCTGCAGAGAAGATGGTTCAGAGCTATGGCGTTATAGTTTTGGTCACGTTGTTCTTCAGATGGACGGCGTCCTTCGCTGCAGTGTCAGTCTTTTTTCATGTCTAAAACATTTTGATTCATGTAATTATGTACGTAATTTTCCCATTTAAAATGTTATAGACCTTCCAATAATCACCACTTTTGTTTTTGGTAAAGTCTTCTGATGATATTGGATGGAACGAAATGGAAGTCAACTAATATGTGGACTTCACTATTAGCTCCTTATCTCTTCTTTAGCCTTCCTCTTGTTATTTTCCAGTTCTTGAGGTATGAATCAATACACAAACAAAACAAAGAAAAAAAAACATTTTATGTTGTTGTTCTTGAGTATGTAATAAACAATGATTAATCAACACAGCGGGGAGTTCGGGAAATGGAGCGCTCTCTTCACAGTCATTCTCAAGCTTTTTCTCCCAAACCATTTTCCTGGTACATAATCTTAGAACTGTTTTCTTGAGAACAATTTTAATTATAATATATATTAGAGAACACTTTAGGATATATATATATATATATAATCCTTTTTGTGTGATTCCTTTTATAAAACTTGCAGAGTCACTAGAGATTCCGGGTACAACGCTTCTTCTTATTGTGACTGCACCGGTTTTCTTCGTGGAAACATTCAGAGACCAGCCAAACGGCCTGAGAGATCCAGCAAGTGTGTGCGTACTCACGAGCTGTTACCTTCTAAGTAAACACACTAAAGCTTGTGGTGGTCACAAAAACTCATTCACTCAAAAGGACAAAATCACTTACACTATTTGTCTTTATCTTCTCTTTATCTATCCTTTTTGGTCCTCAGTTACTTACCTCTTCTAAGATCAACTCTTCAAAATGACAAAAACCAGACATTTTGTCTCAGTTTAGGTCGATCGTGAATGAAAGTGTCAAATTTATCAAACTTTTAAAACACTGATTGTTTGTTTGCGAAAGTGTTTGTTGTTTACAGCGAATGTATATATACTTATGCATTATTTTACATATCTTGGTGATTACTCCATCTCCATATCTGATTTGTCTTCTTGTTAGGTTTTAAGGTATTAAAGGAATTCATGAATGGATAGTTAGGAAGTGTTATATGGGGAATTATCTTTTAGTTTCTTCATCTAGATTGTTTTTGTTGTCTGAACTTAGATTGATCACTTAATTCATGATTTTAGGTTGTTTAACGCACCGTACGTGTGTGTTTAAATGACTGAAAAGAACTTAGAGGAGAAAAACATTATTAGCCAACAAGAGTTGATATTCGCTGTCTTGACTTAACAACACTTTTTCTAATGCTATTGATGCTCAAATCGGTTCTCCTTCAACCAAGAGCCAGATACATGAGTCCCGAACATACACGAGCTCGTCTCATCGTAACTAGGATATTACAGGTTTTCTTTAAGGTTATGATATGTCCGAGTAACTAAAGAAATAAACTCTGTTTCGCAAACTTCAAATTTCAATGTCTTTGAAGTTTGAATACACAAAGAAAACATATTGATCAGCAATCTTACAAATATGGAAACAACAGTATGATGTAAATGAGAAATAAAAAAATGGAGATATGGAGATCGAGCTGCTATATATAACCTGGGCATTCGGATATTCGGTTCGGTTCCAGATATTTCGGATATTTAGATTTTTTATCCACAGGTACCAATATTAAATCGGTTCGGATTCGGTTTGGGTCATCTCGGTTTCGGTTCAGATCCTAAAATTATAGAAACATTGAAAACCGAAAAAAAATCAGTTATATTGTGGTTCGTTTTTTTTTTAATCTAAAACCGAAATTCTGTATCTGAAATCAATGAGACTTACCTGAAATGACAAAAAAAAAAAAAAAAAAATTGAAACCCCTGATTTTACCCGAAAACAAATTATTGTTCCACAAATTCCATTCCAAACAAATTCTATTCCAAGCGAATTCTATTCCAAACGAAGTCCAAAATCTGTTTCAAGTCATATCACAATTCATAACAACTCATAATCCTAAAACAGTTTCCAACAACATTCTAAAGTCTAAACACAAGTCACAAAGACACAAACCATAAAAAAAAAAAAATCATTCAAAATACAAAATTGACACACAAAGTACCAAATTCCAAACTACAAAGTTCAAACTCCAAACTCCAAAGAAGTTATCAGATCACCACCGGCTCAGACTCTTTCTCATGTTTTTGATCCTTAAAAGTTGTATTCAGGTTCATACTCTGAAGAAAGACAATGAAGATAGTTAGAAATCATAATCATAAAGTCAAATGAAAAAAAAAAAGTTACTTACTTCTCATAAGCTCATCTTATAACTCCACATCTGAAAGCATACGTTGAACGGTTACCACTCCTTTTTCATTGATATGAATCTCACACTTTAACCATTGTTTAGTACACATCAGAACTTCAACCATGTAGTGTGTCAAACAGCTTCTATAAGGAGTTAACATCCTACCACTAGTACTAAAAGCAGATTCTGAAGCTACTGATGACACATGCATTGCGAGATGTCCTTAGCGACTAATGACAAGACCGGATACTTACCACTATTAAGTTTTCACCACGATATCATATTCAGAACCCTTCATCAGCTTTGGTTTGTCAACACTCTCTTTCAAATACAGGTCCAACTCATTTGTTGAATCTTCTACACTTGATTCTTCTACAAGTTCCTGATATATATCGTCCATTCGTTATAACCAATACCGGTTTTGAAATTCCTTGTCTCCACAGCTTCACCTCTAGACTGATCTTGTGACTGAGAAGATGATCCCATGAGCCTGAGCAATATATTTTTACCGATCCACCACTAACACTATCATTGGCTTTATTTGCAAAAATAGTGTACTCATAAAAAAAACGCTTCAAGATACTCTCGACTTCATCATAAAGGTGAGTAGCTTCGACGCTGTCTTTCCCATATAGCGATTCAAAACAGAGCTAAAGAAACTTCATCTTCTTCCTCGGGTCAAAAAAAGTTGCCACCATTGAAAGCTTGCTCATCTCAACAATCTTATTCCCATCCTGTACTGCAAACGGATCCCAATATTTATCTAGTTTCTTAGTCATAGAAATGGATTTACTAATCAACTCGTCATCAGAAGCTGGATTTTTCCTTATCTCATTAATGTTTGTTGTTATAGTGACTATCTCATTATATAGTTTGTGTGCAGCCACTGAAGTTGATGCAGAAAGAATCATTGTGGAATTGTAAAAAAAATCACAAGGAAATGGACGAACCTTTCTATTGCATTCCAGTCACTCGTACAAGGTGGTCCGACCCTCTTTTTCCCTTCCACAGTTTCTGTAAAGTAGTCGATATAAGGTTTGTCTTCAGCCTTAATCCTCTCAAAAGCCAATCGGAATTTCAGAGCTTGATCTAGCATGTCTTCATATCTAAAGGTAAGCTTCCTCTAGTCATCTTCCCGGTTTCAACTCAAAACTCAAACGCCTTTGTTATGTTTCTAGATGACCTCACATAATGAATAGCATTACGAATAGCAACGACATTGCTATCTACCTCTTACAAGCCATCCTTCATGATCAAGTTTAATATGTGTGTAGCACATCCTAAGTGAAGATATTCTCCGTTGAGAACCATTACATCATCTCCAAGGTTCTTAAACTCTGCTTTGAATCTCCTCATAGCTGAACTGCTTGCTGTAGCATTATCTACGGTAATGCAGAAGACCCTCTTGATGTCCACTCTTCCAAACACTGAATTAAAATCTTAGAAATCGTTGCACCTGCATCACAATTCAATACCTTCCCAAATCAAAAGCTAACTCAACACTTGAACAGAAGAATCAATGGCATTTTGCATCATCAACAAGCGAAAAAAGGCAAAATAAAAGTGTGAGAGAAATCCAAATTTCACTTTTGTGATCATCAATATTCTTGAAACTTAATATCATCTTCCTTAACCGCCAAGAAGTATCGATAAAGTGAGATGTTATGACCATATAATTGGCTGAAGTAGTAGGAGCTGTCCATATATCGGTTGTCAATGACAACCTCTGCTTGTTCTGCCCAAGTATCCTCTTCATAGCTGCTTTTCTTGAAGCATACATTTCCACAATGTCTCGTGTGGCTGTTCTCCGAGAGTGAGGAGTGTAGAGTTTAGTCTTTGTGGTGAAATGCTTCCAAGCTAAGCTCTCTACAAAACTAAAGGCAACTCAGCTAACACCAGCATCTCATTCGTAGCTTCTCTGAAGACAAGGTCTGAAACCTTTCCTAAACCCATAACTCCATCATCACTAGTAGGAGTTATCACGGTTTGGTTACTATCTTTGTTAGCAGAAATCCAAGCTTGATATGCCTTACATCCAAAATTGATGTGCTTCGTAAGGTTGGATGTGCCCGACTTGGTTGAACATGCAAATTCTTTACCACAATAATTAAAGTTGCATTTGTCGTAATTCTTCTTGTGTCTGGTGTAGTGCTCCCAAACCTTGGACCTTATCTTCTTCCTTTTAGAAGAAACTACCACTATCACCTTCCTTTTCTTTCCTCTTGCATTTATTTCCGGTGTCAGGTGTTTCAACATCCTCTTCTGTTTCAGGTGCATCATTGTCTTCATCCATTGGATCCCTATGTTCGCAAGAAGCCATCTGAGAACATAAGCAAAACAAAGGCTTATGATATATAAATGAAATAGAGATCCAAAGACACTATCACACTACACTGATGAAACAGAGAAATAGATGAAAAGAATTGAACATGTGAAAAATTTGAAATTATCAGACTGATGAAAAGAAAAAAAAAAAACCAGAGCTGATGTAAAACTAGTTTCAACTATCGGCTTTTTAAAATCGACAAATCAACTATCGACAATTGACAAATCGACATACCTCTGACCTAATTCTTGACGACGCTGATCAGTGATGGCAAAACGTAGTCGGGCTCAGAGCAGATGTTCTTGTTAGTGGATTCCAATTTTGTATCTGGGGATTTAGAAATTGTAAAGGAGAAGAGAAATTGAAGGAGTAGAATCGACAAATAACAAACCCTAAATCGAAGAAAGATAACCCAAGGTTATTAACTATATACTATATAAGTATATATTATATAATACATGTATTAAGTAATAAGTATATAGAATTATAGATTATATAATATAGAGAATTTGAATTTGGGTTATCCGAATATCCGATCGGTTTTTGGTTCTTACCTGGAACCGAACCGATATCTACGGTTCTGAAAATTTTTATCCATTAGATAAAATGGCCTGATCTGAATCCTAATCTGAACCGGTTATTTCGGATCGATTCTGGTTCGGTTTTTCGGATCGAACCGGTCGGTTCGTATCAAGATTTTAGCATCATTGAAATGTAGTCGTAGAATTATATTCTCAAGACTTTTCAACTATGGATGACTAGTTTATATGAAGTAAGGAAAGGTGAGAAGACTCTATTTTGGTACGATAATTGGTCTTAAATGGGCAAGCTCCTAACGCTCATAGGAACTTGCGGGTTCATTGATCTGGGAATTCGGGAGGAAGCAACGCTAGAAGATGTAATTCTCAGGCACCATAGGAGAAGACATCAATTCCCTATTCTAAACAGAGTATAAAGATGAGATAAATACAGTTTGACAGGGGTACCGAGAGCACTAGGGAGATGCATATCTTTGGAGAGAAAAAGAGAATGTATATAAGCCGGTATTCAGGACGCAATCGAAGAGAGAGGAAATCAGATGTTCTACGCCGAAGGTTGCTTGGGCTGATGGGATTTGGTTTACTCATCATTGTCCCAAATATGGGTTTATTAGTAAGCTTGCGCTGCAAAATCACCTCAGCACGGCAGATTGTATGCAGGTTTGACATTTGAATACACAAGGCACATGTGTATTGTGTCATCACTCAAATGAGTCGCGCAATCATCTACTTTTCATCTGTTTCTACTCTGTGCAAGTTTTGACAAAGTTAGCAAGAGGGATCCTTGCTTCAGATTTCTCTTTGGAGTGGCTCGATGTGGTCACCCAAATCTCTAAACCAGATCAACATCCACTGAAAGGATTCATATCTCGATACCTGTTTCAAGTGGTCATTTACACGTTGTGGAGAGAAAGGAATGAAAGGAAACATGGTGCATCTCCATCACCAGTCTCTAAGTTAATTAAGTTTGTGGACAAAGATATCCAAAACAGATTTGGCTCAATCAGGATTCTCAAGGATACACGATACTAAGAGGGCTTACAACTTTGGTTCTCAGCTCGACAAGTGGACTTAGGAAGAGGAAACTCTGATTATGTTTTACTGCACTCTAAATTTTGAACTTTTTTCAAATTCGCATTAACAATGTAGAAAACGTTTGTTTTTTTCGGATTTGAATAAATTTAACATTCATCCCAAAAAAAAAACTTTACGAGCAGGGGATATTTGAATGTTACGAAATGCAGAAGAGATGATACTTATGCATAGTAGTCTGCGTTGTAGGAGGTCCTTCAAGGCTCCACTAGCAATCACGTTGAAACTAACCGTCCATGTTGGCTTTAGGCAATCGAGAGTATGAAAAGCTTAAGAGTGAGCAAGATCATCTTTGCGGCTGAAGATTAAGAATCTGATAAGAGCTGTTAGGAGCCTTGGGTTTTTTTTTGGAAATTTTAGGAGCTTTTGGGGATTTTTGGAATGCAGTCCATGATTTGCATTTTGCCAGTTGGTGTCTTCCTACAGATTGCTTAGACAGCTTTGCTTGTACAGAAAAAAAGTCATAATAATATTTACACTTTAGGTTATAAACTTAGTAACGTAACGTAAATCATGTTTAATGATTCCCAAGTTAATTGAAACTGACTCTTACCATTACCAACATCGATTTTCTCAGTTTTGGACCATGTATTTTGGAGAGTCAATGTGATTAATCAAAATCACAATTTTCCTTGGGGTGCGAGAATGTATCGTCCATGAAGGTTCTTACAAAAGCGTAGTGCATGTGACGTTCTCTTTTCTTCTATTTCATGTAAAACTTTACAATCAAAAAGCAAAAACGTAAGTTATCGTCCAATTCGTTACAACTAATGGGGAGTTGAATATTTGGATTACAACTAATGGGGAGTTGAATATTTGGAGTACAAATATGTATATGTTAAGTGTATTAAAATACAAAAAAAAAGTTAATGTTAAAAATTCATATATGGAAGATTATTAGGAAACACAAGTCACTTCTGGTTGGCATCAATGTGCTTAGTTGACAATTAACCGTTGACCCATCATATCATTTTTTAAACTCCATAACAGCTAAACAGCCATCAATTCTTAATACACTATGAATAGTATTATGAAAAGTGCAGACTTTATAATCCGCATTTTGTCACCATTGACAAATTATTTACTTAAAGTCAAAACGGTGAATGGGGTTTAAACGCAAGCATATATATTTGTATCTCTTGTTTTGTAAAAGAAGAACGATTGTCAATTACTCTCTCTGTTTCATTATAGTTGATTTTCTAGGTTTTTTTCCTTGTTTCATAATATTTGATTTTTTACATCTAATTAATGTACATCTTTTTTTCTTTAAGTTGAATGAATCATATTTCTTTGGAACCTGAAAACAACTCTCTGAGGGTGCGGGTTCTGGAAGATCGCTGGATTCCTCCACTGTCGGACATAATAAAGTGCAATGTGCATGTTAACTGGAGGAATGCCAGATTACACTGTGGAGGAGCATGGATGGCAAGAGACCATAGAGGTGAGGTGAAATATCATGCTAGAGAGGCCTTTACAAGCTCCCCCAATCAGATCACCGGAGAGCTAAGGGGTGTAATATGGGTATTGGAAAGTGCAACAAATCTTCATATGCCAAAAGTTCGTATAGCCATTGACTGTAAAGCTGCAATGGATGCTATATCCAAACCAGAGTCATGGCCGAGGTATAGAGCTTTAACGGAAAAGATACATTTACTCCGCCGAGGTTTCGTGATATGCGATTTCGATTTAGAATCTCCAAAATCAAATCACATTGTTAGAGCAATAGCGAAGAGTGTCCTGCGAGATGGAAGATTTCAATCTTATTTGGCACTAGGGGGACCTTCATGGCTCCACGAACAGATACAACGGGACGTGGTGGCGCATTAGCTAGGAAGAGCCATTGGGATCAGGAGCACTTTGGTGATCTGCATCCCCTTATCTGATTTAAGCTGAGTTGTAGCACTGTAATTGTCCTTTTCTTAGGCTTTGGTGCTATGTTTGTTTTATCAGCTTTGTTTTAGAGGGTTTTAGGATTTCTAAAACTCCATTTTTTCTTTGATTAATAAAATTCAGACGATTAAAAAAAGAATGAATTATATTTATGCATGTTGCTTTACAAAACTTAAGCATTAATTAAAAGAGAGGAGATGAAAAGCCCAGATTAAAGTAAAAACCAGTAATACTAATAAAAGTAATGAAATTAATTGTAAAAATAACCTAATTAAACAAAATAAACAGCAAATAATTGAGCATTTATAACTTTCTTAATCTGTATGCAAATATTCAGAAAATCAACTATAATGAAACAGAGAGAGAGTATATAGAATATGAAAATGTAATTTTATCTACACCACATTTAATGCAGAATGATTTACTCGAAGAATATAAAACTTATGTTGTAAACCACATATCAGTCAATTCTTTATAGAATCCGTTAATTAGGAAAGTTCATCAAATTTACATAAATATATATTCGATCCAAACCATAAAACCGATTCAATATTTTATCTTTTTGAATTTCTTCAACGACAAAAATCGGTTGAAGAATTAAGGAATTGATAATTAGTATTCGCATCCAATTTATCAGTGTGACACTGTTACCTTTCTTATTCTTCTCAATAACTTGTTATACATCATCGTCTGGTTCGTTCTTACCAGTCGAACCCACAACTCTTATAACTAAAAAGCAAAAATAAAAACAAAATTATCCACTATATTTTTATATCGTTGTATTTGAATCTTGATTATGTATATAATTATGAAAAGAGGTCACTGGTTAATAAGAGATTTGACAAGCTTACTTGTCAAAATCAGCTAATAGTATAGAACGACACGTGATAACTTAATACTATGACATATGTCAGATTTCGCCACATCATATGTCCTGCCACCGTCGAAGGCCACAAATTATTTTTCTTTTTTGGACTCTCTCTTTTAAATTCTTCTATAACAATATATTTCTAAATTTGTGCACTATTAGTTTTGATCTAACTCTCATAATGTGAAACAAAATGTGAAACATTTAACATATAAACTATATTCCAGTTCCGATCTAACTCTCAGAAAACATATACATTCGTTGACTAAAATTGGTAACTTAACTACAACATATCCCAACTATACATCTTTATTTTGGAACTGATTTACATACAACTTGAATCTTTTTTATAGCATATAGGTTTTAAGCGCTGATTAGTTTTATAACAAATTAGTTTTCTAAATGTAAATTTAGAAGAAAATAATATTTCATTTATGAAATAATTAAAAAAAAATAAATATAGTGTATCACATCGATCTAGTGAATAGTTTGCCTAGTTCTAGTGTCCATCCCTACATACTCGACAATGAACTTAAATATATTAATGGTTGAATCTCGTAGCTTCTTGGCCAATCAAAATCATAGGTTTATAGTATATGAAAGCCAATAATCTCATCATGTACGTAAATAAAAAATAAGATTGAAGGGGAACCTTATAAATGCATGCATGGTCCCTCTTCAATTATTTATATTATGTTGTAATCAAGCAATAAATTTCAGATCATGCAAGTTATATACATCCCCACATCAAATCACCATCATACATATACTACTAGTCTACTACGTTTAACCAACAAAAACAATTTTTTTTTACTTAAAAACAAATTAATTCATCACGATTTACGAACCAAACAATATGATGGAATGGAATAGAAGCTAAACCACAGGTTTAGATTATTTGCGGAAAATGACAAAAAGCTGAGTAACAATTAAGCTGATATAATTTACCACAGGTTTAGATTATTTGCGGAAAATGACAAAAAGCTGAGTAACAATTAAGCTGATATAATTTACCAAATGAAAATCTTATCCGTTTACTTAAATAATTTAAATGTTATATAATGCATGATTTTTTCGTATTGTGGTATTTTTCTAGAAAAAATATATACGTAATTGGAAGGATTCAATATTTTCATTATATCAATCAGCTCAAGATTTATTATTTTTAAGATTCTATATAATTATTATATTTTTTTTTATTCCAAATGAATATATTTGAGAGATTTATTGGAAACAAAAAACAACATTACAATTTCACTCGAATAGTCGACAATCGTAGTCACGTAATTTCACTCAAATTCACACAACATTAAACTGTCATATCAATGGATCCATTTATCTTATCACAAACAAACTGCCCATTAACGGGAAAAAAGACATCATAAGTCAGAGTGATAAATGAATTTGATTCAAAAATAGTCCCTAAACTTGTAATTAAAGCCCAAAACAAAGTGTAAATTAATCTCAACATAAAAGCTGTCATCCTCCCAACTTACTTGAACAGCCTGTCATTGCCCCCACTGGTCGTTCAAACTTCAAAACTGAATTAAACAACAGAAAAAAAAACATAATCACAAAACGACAAAAATATCATACGTGGCAAATCTGTTTATATATATACACACACAGAAACGCATTACTCCCTTCTCAGTTCTCATCTCCCCACTATTCCTTTCTCGTCGGAAACCGAGTCGACTCAGTGAGTCAACCAAAAAAATGGGTATATGCAGCTCGTACGAGTCGACACAAGTGGCGACGGCGAAGCTGATCTTACAAGACGGTAGGATGATGGAGTTCACGACTCCGGTCAAAGTCGGTTACGTGCTACAGAAGAATCCGATGTGTTTTATCTGTAATTCCGATGATATGGATTTCGACGACGTCGTTTCCGCCATTAGTGCCGACGAGGAGCTTCAGCTTGGACAGATTTACTTCGCTTTACCTCTCAGCTCGCTTCATCAATCTCTTAAACCGGAGGAAATGGCTGCATTGGCTGTTAAAGCGAGCTCTGCTCTCATGAGAAGCGGTGGTTCTTGTGGCCGAGATAAATGTCGGTGTCGCCGGAAATGTGTCTCTCCGGTTATATTTTCTGCCCGGAGAGTGGCGGCGGTGGGAAACAGCGGCCAGACGAGGAACGGGAAAAGACGCGGCGGTGGTAGCGGGAGGAGGAAGTATGCGGCGAAGTTGAGTAAGATTGAGGAGTAAAGGGTAGTTTGGTGATTTAGTTATTATTGTAGGGTTAAATTTGTGAATATGTAGTTATTGAGGGGATGCAAATTGCATGCATATGGATGATTTATATCCCAAATTTCAGACCAGGAACATAAAAAATCATTATTGATAAAAAATTTATGAGATTACCCTATTTTTACGCCCAAATGCAACGGGATGTAAAAAGTGTTTTTTTTTATGTTTTTAATCATGTTTTGTGAACGGCATACTAACATTTCGTCGAAAAAAAAAAAGAACAGCATACTAACATTTTGATTCTTAATTTTGAGAAAACTCAAAAATGTGGATTAATTTTATCGATCATTACAATCCAATTGGAAACAAAACTTATTATCTCTAGCATCATAAATATCAAAGAAAAGATGATAATCGCATTGATATGGTTTTCATTCAATTTTATTTTGTTTGCTTTGCACAGTTTGATCTGTCATATATGCTTGTTTTTTACGAACCACAATTGTTCCATTCAATACGTTTGATTAGCATCGCATGTTCCTATAGACCCATGTTTACCATTAGAACCTGTTGGAGGTGAAAACCACACCCTGGTTTTTTTCGGTACAAACTGAGATCGGCGAACCGTAAGCCCAGTTTACGAAGGGATGTACCGAGAGAAGATGGGCCGAGCGAAGATGGGCCGAAGATAGCCCATTAGGCCGAGGTCGGTGGGAAACCTCTCAAAGGAATGGAAGGTTTCCTTGAGCTCGGCCGAAACAGGAAAGTTTCCTGAGGGAAAAAGGAAACTTCGGAGAGAAAAGGAAAGGAACCGAGAGAAAAGGAAACTCCTCTCGGTCCCATATCGTCTAAGGCGTGCTTGAAGACCGACTTAGGAGATATATATAAAGGAAGACGAATCGACATCAGAGAACACAAGTTATTCCCAAGAAGACTTAAAGACTGAGAACTCGTTACGACAGCTTCTTAGTCGCATTAAGTCTTAGTTCGTTATTGCCTATTGAAATAACCGAACTCAGTTGTATTTCACTCGATTCAATCTAATAAAACCGAGCTTCCGATCTAAATTACTGTTTTGTCCCTTGTCGATATTCACATATCAACAATTGGCGCGCCAGGTAGGGGGCTTTATACAGATATCTCAGATTTTTGATCGGACTTCGGAAAGATTGAATCAGCGATGGCAGACCAATCCAACGTTCACGAAGAAGAAAACCCTCTCAGGGGAAACGGGAGGAACTCCTGGAGAAAACGCCGGAACTGCTGCCGAGCAAACTCCCGCAGCCGTAACCGACCTGTTACTCCAAATGTTCACTGCTCACTTCGAAGCCATCAACAAAAGGAGCGAGGAACGTTTCAGTCAGATGGCGGCACAGATCGCCGAACTCAGTCAGACACGAACTCCTCTCCGAGTTCGGAACATCATTGACGATCTCAATGCCGACGGAGATCCAACCGGAACTATGAGGTCTGCCGCGGTCGGGTCAGCAAACCCACCAGCACCGGATTTAAGCCGAGACGCCGAGTTTGAAGCGATGAAAGCACAGCTTCGCGATATCACCTCAAAAATACATCAAGCCACAAGCGCGGCTCCGGAGATCGAGCGCGTCATTCAGGAAACACAGAAGACTCCTTTCACATCGCGCATCGCAGGGACGCCGGTCAAGCACATGGAGAAACTGAAGATGAAAATCTACGAGGGCAACTCTGACCCTCGACACTTCCTGACATCGTTCGGCATCTGCATGAACCGATACCAGTTTAAGTCTGCCGAAGAAAGAGACGCGGTTCAGTGCCAACTATTTGTGGAAAGTCTGGGAGGAGTAGCTCTCGACTGGTTCTCACGGCTCGAAGCCAATTCAATCGACAGCTACAAAGAGTTAACGACAGCCTTCGTCAAGCACTTCTCCATGTTCATTGGACAGAATACCAAGAACTCCGAGCTCTGGCAAATAGCTCAAGGACCAAGCGAGAGCCTTCGCGACTTCATCCAGCGCTTCAAGGCAATCGTCGCCAACTGCACGATTAGCGACGAAGCCGCTCTCTTATGCCTTCAGAAAGGAGCTCGGATAAAGACCAGTTTCCGAAGCGCGATCACGCATAACCCACCGCAGACGTTAGAAGATGCGTTACACCGAGCTAATACTTACATTGCTGAAGAAGAAGAAGAAGCTGCGTACGAGCAAAGTCACTCAACAAAACAACCCGAACGTCTGAAACCCGCGACTAACGAGCCGCAGTCGGGATACGGTCGAGGATACGAGAACCGCAAGAAACTCTATGCTAACGCAATCCAACAACCAAGCAAGCAGTGGAATAATAAATGGGTCCGCGGTGAAGAAGACCAAGACGAGTCGTTATTCTGCGAATTCCATAACCGTAGGGGCCACAGCACCGAAGAATGCAGGCATTTGCGAGAATATCTACTCGGCCTGTATCGCAAGGAGCCGATCTCGGTCGACGAACTCCGACGCTCAAATACGCCTAAGAGCGGTGGGCAACTCTCGATGCCTCGACCGAACAATGAACATCTCGAGAAAGCACTTGCCAAAGATCCACCAACTCCACCGGCTTTACCGACACTACCACCACCGCCACCGAATCCGCCTGCTTTGCCCGAGCAACAGAAACGGAATCGCGATGACCGAGCTCCAGAGAATCATGCTCCTAAGGCGCGAAAACGTGTCAACATGATAATGGGGGCCATCGAAGCTTGCAGTTATTCCGTTCGAGCCATCAAGGAATACAGCAAACAAGCCGCTAGCACACCGAAAACCCCGCAGGATCCGCCGAAGGGAGCGCCCTTGGTCTTTACCGAGGCTGACACAATCGAAATTCACAAGCCGCATAATGACGCTCTCGTTGTCGATCTACTCCTCGACGACGTCGAAGTTAGCCGCATTCTGATCGATACTGGCAGTTCGGTCAACGTTATCTTCAAGGAAGCACTTGACCAGCTCGAGTTGGCGTCAGATAGGATTGATCCGATCATCGAGCCACTTACCGGATTTGATGGAGAACGTTGTATGACGATCGGCACTGTCAAAATCCCAATCTACGTCGGCGGAATCGCAAAGATGATCCAGTTCCTTATCCTCGACAAACCGGCAATCTACAACGCTATTCTCGGTACGCCATGGCTGCACGCAATGAAAGCGGTCGCTTCGACGTACCATCAATGCTTGAAGACCGACTTAGGAGATATATATAAAGGAAGACGAATCGACACCAGAGAACACAAGTTATTCCCAAGAAGACTTAAAGACTGAGAACTCGTTACGACAGCTTCTTAGTCGCATTAAGTCTTAGTTCGTTATTGCCTATTGAAATAACCGAACTCAGTTGTATTTCACTCGATTCAATCTAATAAAACCGAGCTTCCGATCTAAATGACTGTTTTGTCCCTTGTCGAAATTCACATATCAACAATTGGCGCGCCAGGTAGGGGTACGTAGGCAGCTCGTTACCGAGTCCAGCTATAACATCAATAAAATTTTATTGTCAAGATATGACTAAGTGTTAGTTCAAAATCACAAGGGACCAAACTCCTTGTCTTTACATCGACTTCCTGGCCAGTTGTTCGATAGCATTCCACATGAATGCAAACTTAAAAGCCGAGATCCGTCTCGCGAGCACCCACATGGTGTCGTGGTTAAGTCACATATCAAAAGCCGGGCCCAGTCCCGCAGTTAAATTTCTAAGTCACCAAGAACAATAAGCCGAGCACATCTCGCATACTTAGGTTCGACTTAGAAAAACCTTGAATTCGTTTCATGCGTTTACAGGAGTTCGAATCTAATTCACTCTTCCAGTACGAAACGATTCACTTGGGTTCCCCAGGCCGAGCTCATACGCTCGCACGATAAGCCGAACTCCTCAGATTCGCACCGTAAGCCGAGTTCACAACACTCGCAAAACGTAAGCCGAATTATCGCAATTCGCTATCAAAAGATAATAATCACGTTCGAATATCTACTATATACCGATCTAATACTTAAGCATTAACCGCAAATCTTAACGACGACATAAAGTTAAACCGAAGGTTAGATGCCGAAGGTCTTTCTAAAATAAAAAAGCCCCGAAAGGCAAATAGAGTCAGAACCCACCAAGGGCTCGGAATTAAAATTACAAAAAGAAACCCATGCAAGGGTAGTTAAGTTCGAAGAGTAAAAGAAAAACAGAAAGAGATTAGATGGTCTTCGAGGCAGCAGCGTTGAGTATGTCCTCGTTTGAGCCGAACTGCTCGCCCCTCGCAGGATTTTGCGCGCTCTGGGTCACATTTACGACCGGGATGTCATCTTCCTCTACGAACGGAGACATCTTCTTGTCCTCCTCAGTGAGCACGCAAGCATCGATCGCCTTGAAGTCCTCCAGCGCCTTGGCATGCCTTGCTTCAATATCCGCAACCATTTCTGGCGGGACCTCGTACAGACCCTTCCTCCGCAACTGCTTGATGAAACCGAGGACCCCGGTGAGCTGGTTGTAGACCAAGTACGGCTTCCGAGCCCTGTCAGCATCGTCCAAACTCCGGATGACCTTCTCAAGGCGTTCGCAAGCCGTTGCGTGAACGCTCCTAGCTCGATTCTTCCAGTGCACCACCATACCTTGTAGCCGCCCTTTGTCCTACTCGAACTCTTTAGAGAGTAAATTCTGGGCCTCGGTGAGCTCGTCTTTCACCGCCTTCATCTCTGCACTCTCCTTTTTCAGCAAGTCAACTTGAGAGTGCAGAGTTTCGTTGATTTGGAGCTCAGTGGCGAGACGCTCCTCTGCTTTGGCTATCCTTTCTTCGAGCTCGGAGACCCTTACTTGCTCGTCGAACAGGGCTACTTCATATGCAGCGACCAAGTTATTGGTCTGACTGGCGAGCTGCACAGAGGAAACAGGAATTAGAACTCATACTTGGAAGAATATCTAAGTCTATAAGGGGTAAGTATAATTACCACAGCAGTCGTGTGAGCGATTCCCTTGTACATGTTGGGAAACCGGAGCTCGGGAACCGAGGGAAGGCTAGGTACCTCCGAGGAGATCTTATGATAGAGCTCGGCTCAGGCATCTACGTTCTCCTCAAAAGGAGTCTCCTTGTCGTAGTCAAAACAAACTCGGACTCTCTTAGCCGGCCCGTGCTCTTGAGAGCCCTCGACATGGTCTCTGGTTTGCCTTTTTCGGGAGTGTGAAGCTTCAGCTCGATCTTGCGAGAGCGCGAGGCCCGACGCCATAGCTGCCGGTGGATCGAGCTCGGCGGGAGTATCTTGCACCCGAGAAGAGTCCTCTGCTTTCTTACTCTTCTTCGAAGACTTCTTCTTCTTCGTCTTCCTCTGATCAACCTGATCAGGTGAGCCCGCAGCAGGTGGCAACTCTTCTGGCTGCACTTCGGTCTGTTCAGCAGCAAGGACTGGGGTCGGCTCAGCCACCTCCGTTTCCTCTTCACCGAAGAGAGTTGGGATTTCGTCAATGGAAAGCATCCTGGCAGCTCGGGAGCGTTGAGTTCGCGACTTCAGTGATTGGCGTTTGGGAGCGGTTCGAGGCTTGCTAGCTCAAGTTCTCGGCTTGCGTGGTTTTGGTTCTCGAACGGAGCCTGAAATGAAAATGTGTTTAAGGAGGAGTTCGGAGTAAATTCAGAATAAAGTGAGTAAAGATAGAATTCGATGAACATACCCGCTTTCTTAGCTCGACGTTGTAGGATTTCTTCCCAAACCTCCGGCCAACGACGTTTATCGGCTTCGCTGAATGCTTCTTCGAACTCAGAGGTGAGTCCGGAGTTGAGAAGGAGACTCGGAAGATGACGACCTACGAAAATAAAACGAAGTCGAGTTAGCAAGCAGTAAAAGTCAAATATTATCTAAGTGTGAAATCATCTAATCTACCAATCGGAATCTTCCAATTCGACTGAATTGCGATGTCAGAATTGCTGACGGTGAGATCGTTCATTTCAATATAGAAGTACTGGGACTCCCAATCGTTGAATTTACTGGGCTTAGGTCCCATAACTAAATTCTTCTTCGGCTTGGCATTGGCGGCGAAGAACCACTCCTTGGACTTATGGATATTGACCGAGAAGAGGTCTTCGAAAATTCGACTCGATGGGACTTCGCCAAGCTCGTCGCATAAGGAAACGAACCCAACGTAGTTCGTTATTGAGGCCGGCATCACCTGTGTGAGAGCTACGCCGCGCCGGTTGCAGTATCCCAGTAGGCGAGAGGGAATGGGGAAAGAAAGCCCGCACTGAGTGAAGTACGTCAGGTAGACGCAAAAGAAGCCTTCGGGAGCGTCCCACGGCCGATCTCTAGCCTCCGGAATGATGAAAATAATCTTGTCCGCAAGACCGTTTGCCTCGAGCACGACTCGAACGGCACCAGGAGAAAGGGAACAAGAGGGCACGTTGTCGGGACGAACTACTTTCCGCCTCGGAAGTGGTGGCGAAGCATGAATAACCGCTTCAATGTTGTCGACTTCAGTATCAGCAACGTTCTCCCCCTGAAATTCTTCCTCGATCTCCTTGATCTCGGGGGTGTTAGCATCAACGTTCGGTCCAGCCCGAGCCTCCGTTTCGCGAGCCTCTGCAGTCAGATCTTCGGTAGCTTCAATTCTGACTCTAGCACAGCTGCTGCTAGCTTCCGCAGATTTAGAGTTCTTACGAACTAATTGGGGAAGATTGCTTTCATCCCGTGATGAACTTGACTGCTGAGGGTTTGAAGAAGAGGAGCTCAGCTCCGAGGACTCACGGTGGTCTTCCGGAAGAATTTTATTCGAGGAAGAATTAATCGAAGAGCTGGAAGACATTTTAGGGTTTGGGAAAGAAGATTTGAAGGAAATAAAGAACAGTTTGAAGATCAACCGGAAAGTTTGAAGGTTGCTCGGAAAAATCAAAAATTCGCGGCGGCGAGAGTTGAAGAAACGAGAGAAAACGAAGAACAAAAACTAGAGAGAGAAATGAAATCTAGAGAGAACGGAGAGCGGCGTACCTTATATATGCTTGAGGCGAGAATAATGAATGCGAGAAGAAGTTTGCCCTTTATACACAGTGGGAATCGTGGGTTCCTCGATTTTCGCGAAAAATCCCGTAATTCACGCGCCTCATTGAAGATAGACGCGAAACGTCCGGAAATGCGAAACGACAGCAATTACCAAGCTCAGTTTGTGATCCAATAACCGAAGAATTGAGTTCAACTGAAAGTCACCTCCTTTCACCGAACTGAGGGGGGGCTAACTGTTGGAGGTGAAAACCGCACCCTGGTTTTCTCCGGTACAAACTGAGATCGGCGAACCGTAAGCCCGGTTTACGAAGGGATGTACCGAGAGAAGTTGGGCCGAGCGAAGATGGGCCGAAGATAGCCCATTAGGCCGAGGTCGGTGGGAAACCTCTCAAAGGAATGGAAGGTTTTCTTGAGCTCGGCCGAAACAGAAAAGTTTCTTGAGGGAAAAAGGAAACTTCGGAGAGAAAAGGAAAGGAACCGAGAGAAAAGGAAACTCCTCTCGGTCCTATATCGTCTAAGGCGTGCTTGAAGACCGACTTAGGAGATATATATAAAGGAAGACGAATCGACACCAGAGAACACAAGTTATTCCCAAGAAGACTTAAAGACTGAGAACTCGTTACGACAGCTTCTTAGTCGCATTAAGTCTTAGTTCGTTATTGCCTATTGAAATAACCGAACTCAGTTGTATTTCACTCGATTTAATCTAATAAAACCGAGCTTCCGATCTAAATTACTGTTTTGTCCCTTGTCGATATTCACATATCAACAGAACCCCAAGTTTAATTAGTTGATCCCTAACATTAAGATTAAGATGGGCATATAGCTTAAATCCAATTATCCAAGTAGACAACATTTTATGGATAAGAAAGGACCATGTGTGTGATTCTCGTTGATAGTATTTTGATTGGACGGTAAACTTACTAAACAAAGAAAGAAAAATATATTTTAATTTGTAAGAACACATTACATCATGGAGTAAACTGTAAACACCATGTTAAACATTTACTACATTTGTTGTAACCAATTTGGAAGTTGGCTTTTAGTATGAGCAATATGATAAATAATGTAGTCAGTTAGTTGTAACAACAAACACTAATCCAAAAATGTGAAACCCAATGCCCCAAACTTAGATATACATCTTTCTTTGTTAATCTTAGGGGTAACAAACTGAAGTCCAGACGAATCCCACTAAATCTATAGAAAACTAGAGTTTTTTTAGCTATAAAAGGCGTCTATGACTGGTTGAATCGATGATAATGACAATAAAAGAATTTGAACCCTAGTCTAAATCTATATGGCGAATTTTAACAACCATTGAAATACATTTAATTACTTTTTTCTTCGTAATGGATACAGAGTAACATAATACTCCAGTTATGGATCAATTTACTGATTTTTAAGCCTAAACTCTAATTAAGGCCTAGGGATTATCCGGTTGTTCGTGTAATGTCTACGACATTATTGCCGATCCAATTCAAAACATTATTTTAATATTAGCATTTTTCACGGTTGTAATAGTGCAATGAAAATGAAACATCACATAGATTCAGTAATTTGACTTCGAAGAGACCCTACACGCTAAAGGTTAGGTCTGAGACGCATCACCCGATTAGGTCCCATCTGATGCATTATGACAAAGTCAATTTGTTGGGATTACGATGACATCTTTATATATTTTTGGTTACAGGCTTACAGCTATTGATATATGATCCGATTACTATAGCGTATGTCTCGATATGGTTTTGTTAACTTGGTTCGGTTTAAGATTTAGCTTGGTCTTTAGTAAAAAAAAACTAAACTCAAAAGTATTATATTTCGGTTTGGTTCGGTCACAACAACATAGTTTCAATTCGATTTTGGTTTTAGATTTCCAATTAAGAAATTTATATTTGGTGTAAACAATTTTGTTTGGTTCGATTACGATTTGTTTTGTCCATTTGTATCGATGTGAACTACTAGCAAGTAGCAAATGTTGGAAAATAATGAAGGGGAAAACAAAAGGGCGTGTGAGAAATAAGTTTGGACAAGACTTTAATGAGACGGTACGTGCGGTGCCTAACCATCAGGGCCTACTTTTAAAGCCCACTTCTTCTTTTGTTATTTTGTAGTATATATATGAAGGAATTAAAACTATTTAATTTATACCATCATGCCTCTACTAGAAGTATAGAAATTATCATACCAGATTATCACACTGTAATTTAAAGAATGAGTAGTGTGTAGACACTCTTTTATATATGGAGCACTTTAAAGTGTAATACTTGGAGAGGAAAAGTGTATTATTTGGAGATATAGATAACAAAATCCCAAATAGCATGAAAAGAAAGAAAAGAAAAAGCAATAGAATTTTAGCAGAAAAACAAAAAAGAGAAGAGAAAAAGAAAAAGAGTTTACGTTCATAAAGCTATCCACCAAGTTTTTATTGAAAGTGTGTATATATAATATCCCACGACTAAAAAAAGCTCTTTGAGCTTGTTTATGTATCTTTATCTTTTTAAATTGATTCATCTGTTTTCTTTATGCTCTAGTTTTATGGGGTTCAGTATGGATGTTAGTTGGGTTTCTTTAGTTTAGTCAACTTATCATGACCATAATCACCCCTTTTTATAGTGGAGATTCAAGATCGAAATCTAGACTAATGTTAAAAGAACAATAATCAATCTATGATCCAGAGTTTAGAGTTTAGGCTATATTCATTTCTTGAAAATTATCAACTTTAATCTTAAAAATTTATCAACGTTAGTTTAAAAAAAATTATAGAATTAAATTAAATAAGAAGAAAATTGAGAGTGATGGGAAAAGTATTTTTGAACCAAAACTATAATGATTTTCAAGGTCATAAATAAATTAAAATAAGGGAATTGATTTATTATGTACACACCTATTCTTCTACAACAAAGACAACACAAGCCAAAAATCATCCAAGATTGGTAACCAAAAAAACGGCATGCAGTGTTTACTCTATATCTATTTCTACTCTCTCTCTACACTTACAATACATCCTCCTATACACTCACCAATATGTTACACAAAGAAACAGAGTCCTGCAAATCAAAACCCTTCTCAAGAGGACCACATAAATTCATTCATCTAACAAGCTCTCTGGCTATCAAATACCTAAACACAAAACTATGAGGCGTCCATTCAACAATGCTCTTCCGGGATCTCCCCGAGTTAAGTTTCTTAATGGTTTTCTTCATTGTATCAGGGAGACATTCTTGAATCATCTCCATCAATGCCGCTTGATTCAAACCCGAGTCTTTGCTAAAAGATTCAATGATCTTTGGTAAGACTAGTTTCTGGTCTTTCTTAACCCCAAACGTTGCGCGAATGTACTCTTCTTTTGCGGTCTCTAGCTCTTGGTATATTCCCTTGGGCGTATAAACACGAATCTACAGCCAAAGAAGCTACATTCAAGAACTCTCGTTTTACAAAGAAGATACAAGTGTTAAGCTTTCTCTACTTACCGCAGGATCAGAATGGTTGCCTGAACAAAGGGCAAAGTATAAGAGAGGCTCGGAATGGTCGAGGGAATATTCTTGATGCTCATCTCCAGTTCTGAACTTTCTTGGAATGAGTAATAGCTTGAGCCACTACAAACAGAAGAGAGAAAGCTTAAGACATATATAGTCACATTGACAATCTTTACTTGTGAGATATGCAAGAAGTGGACCCCTACCTGGCCGGGACGAGGCAACCTGATGCGAAGAATGTAATTTTGTACCGCTTCTACGCTTACCATGCGACCTCCTATGTTGTAAGCTGGCTGAAAAATATCAAGCAGAGACCAAAAAAATTCAGAATCATTCTTAAAGTTTGGGTTTTTAATCTATCTTCTTGAAGCAAACCAAGCAAAGTGTTGATAACAATTACCTTGGAGAGCAGTAAAAACCGCTTCCCGTTGTTCTGTGGAATCCCATTTGCCAGAAATGTCTGCATTGGTGAATACACAGTATAAGTAAAAATCAAAACTCCAGTGAAAAGTAGACAGAGTAACAGAGAGAAAACTACTTACATGCATCACAAGTGCGTTATGTATGTTAATCCAAAACGCCAGTTTCTCTTGATGAGTCAGCTTTCTTGGATCAACACTTTCCAGTTGCTTGATAAGCAAGCTGTGTATAATAAACCAATGACTTCTCTCAGCATTAACATTGAGTGAAAAGAACTAAGGCAAACTCAGATAGCTGCTATTAAAAATGCTGACCTGAAGTTTCGATTCATCAGGTCAAGGTCTCGTCCTTTCCTATGGTTTCGATGAATGTATGACACTTCAATCATTGAGCTATAAGGACCACTGAATTCAAATTGGTCATCGAAAGACGAGTTTTTTCTGAAGCTTGGACTCCACATATCATACTGGTCTTGAGGCGAAAACTCGCTTGTTGATGATGGAGATGAACTTGGAGATGAGAAACCGTGGTTTATCGATGGAGGATCCGCGAGCTTGGAGTATATAGCCGATGCACACTTAATCATCTCCTCTGATAACTTGTTCGGAGTCATAAATATGTGGTCGGATATCCGAGTTCCCATGTGTTCTGCAAGGCTTGCAGTATTTGATCCATTTCCTATGTACTGTTGCAACAAAGAGTAAGTAAAGTTACATACTTTGTAAACTCTAATGTCAATACAAGATTATAGCACCATTGCAATGAGACTTACTTCTTTTATGGACAATGGTTGGGAGTGGCAGGCAAATACTGAATCTTCTGGTGGAGATATTCGGTTATTGAAGGTGGAACGTTGATTAAGCGAGGACTGGCAACGGCGAACACATGAATCGATGTCCTCCTTGTCGTA